ACAAAAATGCTTCCAGACATGGCCAAGTGTCTCCTGAGGCAAAAGTCTACCCCACACCCTCTTGAGAACGGACTCAGAGCATTTGGTGCATGCTCGGAGCCAGGCCCTGCCTTCTAAGTTTGTGCAGTAGCCACTAGCTGATGATCGCAGAAGTGGTTTCTGGCAGGGCTGGGAAGACGTAGCACACAAAACCTCAGGTTCACGACTGAAGCTCCAGGGAGGCAGCTCCAGCTTCCCGTTAAACCCACCAGCCCTGCACCGCTGCAGATCTGACTGACTAGGGCCAGCCTCAAGGGTCTGGAGCTGCAGGCCTGCCGGTCTGGACCTCTGCGCTTACTTCCGCAGCTCCCTGTCTCATAGCAGAAATTGGGAAGGGTAGTACAGGAATGCTTGACTGGGACCGTGTGAGCAGCAATACCACTTCCGAGCAGGAAGCAGAAACCCAACAGCATTTTTATGTGGCACAAAGGACCACGTAGACCTGGATCCCTCCAAATCCCCCAGAAGTGGGTGAGACCGGCGCTGCACTAGGCACTTGCGGGTACTGACTGCAGCCCCCTGACAGAACAGGGAGGAGAGTCAGGACAGACTGTTGTCTCGAGGTTGTGATTTTCCTGGTCGTCGCTGTTAGCTTAGAGGAAAGTTTTCTCTTACAAAATGGCTCCCAGGAGCTCTGTCAGAAACCAAAACACAAAACAAAGAGAGAAAAAAACAAAAACAAAAAGACAACCAAAATCCACCAGGATTCTGCTCAGGAGGTGCAGAGACAGGATGGGGCTCTGGTGCCTTTGTGTTCGCCTGCGCAGCCCACACAGGAGGGCCAGCGCCTGCTGCGATGCCAGCCAGAGCCCTGTCGATGCTGCCTCCCCTGGGCACCGAAGCTGAGGCACCTGGAAGGGTTATTAGCAGGATTGGAACTCATCCCTCTGCTGGGACTTGATCATAATTACAGTAATTTTCTAACAGGCTCGGCACTAGGACTGTTTAATCAGCATCCGACTCCCCTGTGCTCTCAGCCCTCATCACTCAAGGAGAGGAGTGGGATGGCTCTTAAAGAGACAGTGCCCGCCTTTCAGCGGTTCGAACAGATGTGCCCTAATTGGCAGAATATATCTAAGTCTTGTAGCTTAAACAGGCAGGTTGCATGGGCCTCCAACAGACTGCCTGGGGCCCTCACTAGTTTAGGCCCTCTGCCGGAGGGCCCCAGGTCAGGCTGCTGGTGGGTCAGGAGCCCCCGATGAACATGACCACTAAGGGAAGGGACACAAGCTTACTGCATTGGTGGTACTGACAAGCTGGCCCCTTTGGATTGGTGGAATGGGGGAGAGAGCTTGAAGTGCAGAAAGACTCGAAATTCTGGCTGGTGGCTTCCCATGATTCAAGCAGCTCTCAGGAAAACCCCTTACCAACTTCCCAGTAATCTTTTAACTGGGCATTCCTGTCTCCATACTACTCACTGTGAAGTCCTGGGGTTTCTCTCCTGTGCTTAAGTAGACCTATCTGCCCTCTGAACCGGAAGCAAGCAACGTCAGTTATCACTCCCTGAGTCAGGAGCGCTGGCTCCTAAGGAATATGGCTCTTGCTAGCTTTCAATCAGAAGTGGTCTATGTTGGTGGTACCTGGAGATTTGAGGTCGCCAGCTTCTTCTCCACATCTAGTTATGGCCAGGGCGGAACTGTTTCTCTCTCGACATGATTTCTCTTACAATGTCAGGACTGACTCTGCTGGAAGGGGCAACACACAGCTGGTCTACAGCCATTTCCAACAGTGCCTCAGAGAGGAGCTGGGTGGGGGAGGATGGGGGAGGGCCTTCAAAGTGGGCTGCGGAGACCCTTCAAGAAGAAAGTAGAGTAGTAAAGAAACTAGGAAGCAGGACATTTGTCTGGACAAAAGAGTTCCATAAGTTCCGTGAGCCAGTCTACAGAGGTGACTCCCTCTGGCAGGGCTGCCCTCGGGTTTAGGATCGCTGCCCACTGCCCACTTAGGAAGTGCCCAAGCCACAGTGCCTATCTGCTTGGCTTCCCTGAGTCCTAGCAGAGTGCTGCTCTTGCATCCACAAAGGCCAGGCACCCCAATCCAGCATCCTTGCAGCCTTAGTGAGTCAGGCCAGGGGCTGCTCTGATCTCTGATCCCATCTCTACATTTGGAAGCACCCTTGTATCCTGGGGCTACAACCCCACACCAACTTGTTAAGAATGCTAAGCAAGAGTTGAAGTATACAAACTCACCAATATGGGGCTAATTTAATTCTATTCTGGAATCGGATGCTCTCTGAACAAAGCTACCAGAAGGTAGGAGTCATTTAGAATTCGGAGGTGGGGACTTAAACCCCAGCAGCCAGAAATCTAAAGACTGTGTGAGGTTTGTTTGCCGCTGTTGAGAGTTATACTATAGCCCAGGATGGTCTGGAATACCCTCTGTAGCTCAGGCTAGCCTTAAACTCACAGCAATCCCTCTTGCCTTGGCCTCTCAAGTGCTGGAATGACAGGCATGTGTGACCTGGTACCACGGAGCTTGGGAAGTACCTCCTCTAAAGATCAAACACACGGGGTATAGAAATGACACAGGCCACCCCCACGTCCTGGCCAGCCACTTAAAGCTACCTTCTGCAGTCACATTCAGCTAGAAATGGAGTACGAGGCTTCCTACCCTGCTGACTCCCATCAAACCAAACAACTCGCAGGAAACTATTTTTGCCCCAGAATTCCCCCACCTTCACTTTTCCCACCAAATAACCTCCAATCACCCCTCACTGGTCCCCGACCTCCCGCCACTCAGATGAAGGGGATGGCAGGACTTGGGTCACGAGAGTAGCTGTGACTAAAGCAGGTACCAGACTAGCCTCAAACCTCAGATCAAAACAAAGAACACTTTTGATTCTAGGACACAACGCAGCGGGCCGCTCCCCACAGCCAGTGACTCATCTCTCAGGGCGAAAGCCTTCCAGTTGGGGTGGCTAGACTCTGGCACACGCTGGACAGAGAAAAATGCAAGAGAGGCCTCAGGCATCGCCTGAACGAGAAGACATTTTCATCGATGTTTGCTGTTTTTCTGGTACGTGGGCCCACGCTATTAGGAAAGCTCTCCTTCTCCGGACATCTTCTGCAGCCAATCCCCAACTCAGCACAAGGCTGAGGAGCCGGCGCCTGGCCTCGCATTAACTGAGGTGCTGTTGTATGCACTGCTGCTAATGGATCATTAAAAAAGCTGGGAGTCTGAGAAATCACAGGCATGTCTGAAGAGCGCCTGCTGTCCCAGCAGCCCAGCCTGCTGGCAGAGCTAGCTGCCTAGCACCAGCTCCAGGAGGAGAGGGAGAACAGAAGAAGGCCAATCCAGCTTGCTGCTTTTTGGCTGAGTAGGGAATTGACACAGACCACCTCCGGCTCCTGTCTGGAAGTTTTGAGATCAGAGAGCTTCAGGCACAGCTGGGTTCACAGCTGCACCATTTGGAGCAGTGGACTCATTAATATTCATGAGCCATCCCCACCAATCGGCAGAGTGGATGCCATTAGCCTAGCATCTGTCGGGTTTTGTGAGGGTTGTGTATGGAGTTTTTCCCCCCTTTTAAATGAACTTCTTTTGACATTTTGGATTTGCCTCTGTAGGTTTTCTATCCTCGCTTTGCTCTGATGCATCATATAAAGAAGAGACCCAGGGGAGGCGGGCAGGAAGGAGGGATGAACACCAGCCAGGGCTTTGCATCTGCCTGTTGACAAACTTTATTTCTCTTTTAGCACCTGGCACCTCAGACAGGCTTTGAAGATGGAAGCAGCATCAGGTAAATTATACCTAACAAGGTTCATGCCCAGAACTGCAAGAAGAGCTGGATCCTGGCTCTTTGGAAAACACTCCCTCCTGCAGTGGGGAACCTGAGTCTCGCACACAATGCAGGAGAGCTCCAGCACACAGTTCTATAGCAAGTGTTATTTCCATGCTGATAAATTCATGATTTATGAAAGTAGCTCCCACCAGCTCTCATTCCCTCCTTCCCTGCTACAGCTTGTTAGACACAAATTTCAACACCAGTCTTAAATACTTGCATTTTATTTCAGGCCAATGCCCCTCAACTCTGAACTAAATGCCATGACAATCCCACAACACAGGCCGATACAGTAGTAAAAGAGCCCACAGACGGGGCAGATGGCCAGAGAGAGGACGCACACACAACCCTAAGAGCAGAGCAACAAGGTGAGCCCGGCAGAGAGCCCACCCTAGAGCTCCAGCTACCGGCCCTGCTCTCTACACAGGATTACAGCAGCAGGAGGGCAGAAGCCTCAGTGTCTGAAGGAAAGCATGTGCTTCCTCACCTCCATTCCCAAAGCCCCCACTCCAGGCTTCTAGAAATAAAGCCCCCACTGGACCCTGTGTGCCCCCACTGGACCGAGCATTGGCTTCGTCCCTGCAATGCAACAGTGGGCACTGTGGCAGCTAAAGCCCTAGGAGTCGCTACTGGGAAAGAAAATAAGAAAGGAGTCCACTTTACCCCTGCAGAAACATCAGCTCTGCTTTATAAGCACAAGATGGGCAGCTCAGAGTCACCTCTGCCCAAACAAATGTCTGCGCTGTTCCCTCACCCTGGCTGCAGCCAGCCACTTCGCCTGGATGGGCTCAAACTCCCTACCTGCAGCTCTCAGGCCCCACCCAACCTGCCAAGGTCTTGGAAGATATTGGAAACCCCAGCAATAAGAGCCACGTCACTGCCATTTACTGAGAAGCAAGGAGGTGGTAAATAAATAAATACTCACCACCCTGTCCACACGTGGAGGCAGGCAAGAGGCCAGCCTCCCACAACCAAAATGTTCCAGGGGCTGCAGCAAAAGCTGAAGCCCGTCAAGGTGGGAATATAACAGTAGGAGCATTCTGTTGGGACAGTATTCAATTCAATATGGCAGCTAAAAACCTGCCATGAAGAGGTTCCCCAAACCATTCATCCATGGCTGTGCTCTAAACAAACACCTGAAGAAACTTAGCTCCCGGGGAAGTCGATACAGTTCTATTTAACACCAAGAGCTTCTGGGCACTGTGCTTAACTTAACAAACACCAGCATGGTGCCTATTCCCTTGGAGGAGATAGAGCAGGCAGTCACAACCACCCCTGCAGAGCAAACCTGAGAAGATGTGGATGGAAGACACTAAACAGCCAAGCTTCCCTAACAGATGCCCGGGGCCCATCCCATCTGGATGTGACTGTGGCCTGCATCTTCTCCACCACCCAAGAGAACCTAGATCTCAGCCACAGCTCACTTTCCCCACTCTGTGTCTGGCTGACCAGGATCCAAAGGCACAGCATGGTCACCTCCCACAGCCCTTCTCACAGGCTGGGACCCACAGAGTCCCTCATCGTGTCTTGCAGTAAGATCACAGCATGACGGTAAGGAGCTGGGTGGCAGCATGGAACTTTCCAAGGACGGACCCTCAGAGTCAATCACTGGAGCCCAAGTTCCTAAGCGGTCCTTCTCTTCTTCACTGGGAGGCGGGGAAGGAGAGCTCCTCCTACCTGATCTCGGAAGAAAACAGCAACTGGGAGGAAAAAAGAGGGAAGGAAAGATGAGCATGAGTAGAAGATAAAAATGAAGAGATAGGCATAGATACATATTGCATTCAGTGAAATTTTCAGCCACATAAAGGAACAAAGTGCTGAAAACAATGGAGCCGGCACAGTGGCATAGTGGGTAAAAGGCCCCACTGAAAGCCTGATGACCTACTTCAATCCCAGGACCCAGAACTACCCAGCAAGCTGTCCTCTGACCTCTGCATCATGACATACTGCACATATGCACACACACTCAAACAAATGAAATATGATCTTAAAAATTGAAGCATTACGCTGGATGGAAAAAGCCATATCCACCTGCCCTGTGACGCTGTGTGTTTGAAACGCCCACAACAGGCAGATCCACACAGAGAGTAGACTACGGTTACCAGGGAATGGACAGCCATTGCTCACCGGGGTAGCGTTTCTTCATTTAGAGCAGGGACATGTTAACATGAGGAGGTGGCTTGGTGGTAGAACATACATAATACACAAGTGAAGCCCAGGACTTCATTCCCACCCAGAATCACAAAAATTAACTAATTAAACAATTTTTAAAAGGAGCCTGGCATGGTGGCGCACACCTTTACTCCCAGCACTCAGGAGGCAGGCAGATCTCCGTTGGGTTAGAGACCAGCTTGGACTACATAGCGAGTAGCCTACATAATGAGTAGGTCGACACAGCTGGAGCCTCACAATAAAAAAAGGGAGGGAGGGAGAGAAAAGAGGGAGGGAGGGAGGGAGAGAGGGAGGGAGGGAGGGAGAGGAAGAAACAAGTATTCTAAAACTGGAATCCCTGAGCTAACATCTGAGGCAGAAAGATGACCACAAGTTGAAGACCGGCCTGGGATACAGTGAGCTCCAGGCCAGTACAGGCCAGAGTAGACTCTGCCTTAAACAAAAGGAAAAAGCCAGCCAAGGAAGGCTGCCCCTTCTTTCTCCTGAGTTTCAGAGGAACATCTAGTTTTCCATTCGAGATAGAGAACTAGGCCTTTCCAAGGCTACCAACGCTGTGACATTCCTTTCCCTAACACATGGGCATGCTACTGATGTCCATGACACACCCCATGTGTCATTGGTCCCACAGTTACCTGTTAACCTGGTCTCCTTTTGCCAAGTGAGAGGTGCTTCGCCGCTCCTCCTGGGCCCAGCCACAGTTTGACATAGCATAACAAAGAATGGCATCAGACACAGTCAGGGAGCCTCGGCCCTGGACACAGGCTTCAATCTCGGGCACTGAGAGCTGGCTTTGAAGGAAGAGGTGCAACTGACTGTCCGACAGAAGGACCACGCTCTGCAGGACCCTGAAGCAGGAGAGAGCACAGCACGGAACACGTGATGAAGTCGCTTCCCCGTCCCCATCCCAGCCAGGCTCTGGCTTCAAGCAGCATTGGAGGCGGAAGGGCACAAGAAAGCAGGTCACAAGTGTGGTTGCATGAGCAGGGCAGCCTGCATCTGCCCGGCACCTTCCTGTGGCCCTGCCTCCACACGGCGGCCAGTGCCAAGCCAACATGTCCACTCACTTTTCGAGGAAAAGCTGTAGACCTTGCCGCCGCTTCTCGATGAACTCATCGGAGTTGCCAAAGAAAGTGGACTTCCCAGGAAGTTCAGGTACAGGTCTGTGGGAGCATGGCGTGACACGCAAGGTAAGTGAGGCTTCACTCCAACCCCGCCCCAAAATATCCCCTGAAAAGAGGCCCAATCAATGCAATTAGCTTTTATTAGGGACGTGACAGAGCTAACACTGGTTGATAGTGTGCCCTACAGCAGGCACATTACATGACATATCCACAAACACGGCAGTTAATCCTTCTAAAAACCCCAGGAGGAAAATATTAGCGCCCTCCTTTTAGAAAACCAGAGAGGTGACATAAAATTCCCACTGTGAGCTAGGTGTGGTGGTGCACACCTTTAATCCCAGCACTCAGGAGGCAGAGGCAGGCGGATCTCTGAGTTTGAAGCCAGCCTGGCCTACAAAGTGAGTTTCAGGACAGCCAGGCCTAGGTAGAAAAACTCAGTCTCGAAAAACAAAACAAAAAATCCCACTGTTGGGCTGAAGAGATGGCTCAGTGGTTAACAGCACTGGCTGCTCTTCCAGAGGTCCTGAGTTCAATTCCCAGCACCCACATGGTGACTCATAACCATCTCTAATGAGATCTGGTGTCCTCTTCGGGAAGAACACTGTGTACACAAAGCTTCTATACCATCTAGTATACCCACTTCCAACATCAATCACTTTTTCTTCATGTGTATGTGCTTGCCTGATGATATGTGCACCATGTATACACAGTGTCCACAGAGGCCAGAAGAGGACACTACATTCTTGTGTTCTCAGATCCCTGGAACTGTAATTACAGACAGTTGTAGGCAACCTGGTATGGGCTGCCAAACTCAGGTCCTCTGCAAGAGCAACAAGGGCTCTTAAACAGAGCTATCTCTCTAGCCCCTTTGGGGCTTTCTGACCCATGGCTTCACTATACTACATAGGCATGGCTGGCCTGAAGCTTGCAGTGGTCCTCTGTCTCTGCTTCCTAGGTGGTAGGACTACAGGCCTGCTCCACTACACCCAGCTCTACTACTTCCGTGCTCTGTATTGGGGTGGGGAGCACGTGCACACACGTGTGGATGTCCTGCACTGGGGTGGGGAGCACATGTACACACATGCGTGTGGATGCTCTGCACTGGGGTGGGGAGCACGTGCACACACATACGTGTAGATGCTCTGCACTGGGGTGGGGAGCACGTGCACACACAGACATGTGGATGTCTTGCACTGGGGTGGGGAGCACGTGTACACACATACGTGTGGATGCTCTCTGCATTGGGATGGGGAGCACGTGCACACACACGTGTGGATGCTCCGCATTGGGATGGGGAGCACGTGCACACACATGCGTGTGGATGCTCTCTGCATTGGGATGGGGAGCATGTGCACACACATGCGTGTGGATGCTCTCTGCATTGGGATGGGGAGTACGTGCACACACATATGTGTGGATGCTCTGCACTGGGGTGGGGAGCACGTGCACACACATGCGTGTGGATGCTCTACACTGGGGTGGGGAGCACGTGCACACACATGCGTGTGGATGCTCTGCACTGGGGTGGGGAGCACGTGCACACACATGCGTGTGGATGCTCTGCATTGGAGTGGGGAGCATGTGCACACACATGCGTGTGGATGCTCTGCACTGGGGTCTCCCAGCACTGGGATTCACATGGTACTAAGGACCCGACTGGGCTCCTCGTGCTCACAACAGTCACTGCACCACCAGCCATAGCCCCAGCCATCGCCCCAGTGTTACAGTAAGAGGAAGAAACTTAAAGCACGGACCTCTGGGCCTTTTCATATAAATTAAAACCATCTACTCCAAGTCAGACATGTAGCCATGTCTATAACCTCAACTACTCGGCAAGCTAAAGTAAGAAGATGGAACATCTGAGGCCAGCCTGAAGCTACACACACAGGCTCTATCTCAGAATAGATGGATGGATGGATGGACGGACGGACGGACGGAGGGACAGACAGACAGATAAAACAGAATACTCTAGCCCCAGAATTTGCTGAAAATGAGGTGAGTTATAGCAATTACTGTTAAACTTTCCTAGCTTCTGTTATAAAGCACAGGGAACACGTTAGAAAGTATCAACAAGAAGCTAGGGCTGACGACATAACTCAGTGATAGAGCAATTGCCAGCCACGTACAAAGCCCTGAACTCAATCCCCAGCACACACACAAAGTGGTGGGGGGGAGAACACAGACACCCTCAGAGGGAGTAACAGACAGAGGCAGATAGACACCCGAAGCAGCCTAGAGGAGAGGAAGTAAGGGAACTGGCTGGTATGTCCTATCGCAGTGGCCCCATCACTTGGAAGTAAAGGGAGGAAGGTAGAGGCAAGAGAATTGGCAGCTCAAGGCCAACCTGGGCTACATCAGAGCACATCTCAAAAAAAAAAAAAAAAAAAAAAAAAAAGGTGAGATGACCTATGCCTATAACCCCAGCACTCCAGATGCTGCCACAGAGGACAAGTTCAAGGCCAACTTGAACTACATAGTGGGGCCTGCCTGAAAAAACAAAGACCTCGTTTACAGAGATGACAACTTACAACATGCCAGGTACTAAAGAATCTAGGAAATGTCTTAAAATGTGTTTAAGTCAGTGAACTATGGACGTGTGGGCACACGAGTGCTTACATACACTGTTTCCTGTTTAGACCATACGTGTGTGGGCACACGAGTGCATACATACACTGTTTCCTGTTCAGACTACACGTGTGTGGGCACACGAGTGCATACATACACTGTTTCCTGTTCAGACTACACGTGTGTGGGCACACGAGTGCATACATACACTGTTTCCTGTTCAGACTACACAGCATACATACACTGTTTCCTGTTCAGACTACACAGCATACATACACTGTTTCCTGTTCAGACAGTTTTGCTAAGTCAAACAACAGGAGAGAAGAATGCTGGTTTGCCTTCACTGACTTAAACACGTGGTTTAAAGCATTTCTTCGGTACCTGGCATGTCCTCAGTGCTTTTCTCTGCAGACTCCAGCCACCACATAATCACCCAAGAGTCTCCTTAGACCTGAGAAGACAGCAAGAGCAAACTCACACCAAACCCGCATTCCTCTGTAGCTGCTTCCTCAGCCACACGAATTCACGGTAGCGGCGCCGCACACAGGAGGTCTTGGCGGTAAAAGCCTTGCTGTTCGTCTACAAGAGGAAGTTTGTGAAAAGTGTTAAATGGACAAAGACAAAGTTCATATGAGATCATCACCACCGCTCTCTTTAAGGGGCCAGATTATGAGGCCATTGGTCCCCAGGCCAAGATGCCACTGGACAGCCTGAAAGCAATTCCCAACTACACCTTGTACTCCTTCTTCTCCACACTCAGTGCCTTCTAAGTCTCCTGTCTCGGACTGCTGGGGACACCCACAGTCACCTCTACTTCAGCACAGCCCACAGCCCTCAGTTCCCCATTCCAGAAGCTCGACTCACATGAAGGAAGATCTTATAGTCCACGTAAGAATTCCAGGAGCCCTCATTCTGCACCCGGGGGTCCTGAACACGCACCGTGATCACCTCCTGCAGGTGTTTAAAAAAATGCCCCCTCAGCTTCACTCCACCTTTCACAGACAGAGAGTTTGGTTTTGGCACAGGAGCCTGGCTGGCCTGGAACTCACAATGTGGACGTATTGCCTTGAACTTGTGGCATTTTTCACAGTCTGCCTCCTAGTGTTGAGATCATAAGGCACTGTGCCTAGCTGGCAAGGCAGCTCTGACCACACAGTAGTTTCTAGTACAGTAGACTAACTCAGTCCCAACTTCCAATCATTTCTCCAGTCAATTCAACAAGTATTTCCTGACACCGGTGCATGCCAGGCACTGTGCAAAGACAGAACATAAACAAGAAACAAAAATCCCTGTTCTCCGGGAGACCACAGGCCATGCCAACTAGTACAGGCCTATAAGCCTAAGGACTTGAGAGGCTGAGGCAGTAGAATCAAAGTTCTAGGCCTCATCTGAGGAACTTGGTAAGACTCCAAATAAAAAAATAGAGAGCTGCAGACAATGGCTCCCGCCTTTAAACCCAACACCCAGGAAGAGGCAGGAGGATTGCCACCAAGCTGAAGGTCAGCCGGGTCCACATAGCCGCAGTACATAAGGCTATAAAGAGAGTTAGGGATAAATGGATAGATGGCTCATTGGCAGAGCTGAGTCCTCCCAAGCCCGAGCTCCATCTGCACAAGGAAAGACTAGACAAATAAGGACAAAGTACAGGGGCTGGAGAGATGGCTCAGAGGTTAAGAGCACTGACTGCTCTTCCATGGGTCCTGAGTTCAATTCCCAGCAACCACATGGTGGCTCACAACCATCTACAATAAGATCTGGTGTTCTCTTCTGGCATGCTGGAAGAACACTATATATGTAATAAATAAATAAAATTTTAAAAAAGGAACAAAGTACAGCGATATGAATGAAAATGTCCTGATGAGCCCATTTCTTGGAGGATAACCAAACACTTAACTTTAAAAAACGCTTATATTCTAATACATTCCAACCAATGGAAAGTTAGTCAAAACGAAAGCTCACTTCTCAGCCTGTACACTTGTTCTGACTTCTTTTACCTGGCTTTATTCTGAGCACATCAAAAAACACCAAGGGTATTACCAGGGGAAAACACACCACAGACACTCTACATCTGTGTCCCCTCACCCAAAAAATGGGGCCTCCAACTCTGCCCCACTTGGAGCCCACGCTTACCTCCAGCTCTTGGTTCTCCAACATCCTACACCAAAAGCCCATCGGAAGAGAACATCTGAGGGGGGCAAAAGGCACGGGAACAAGCAGAGTTAGCAAATGTGTCCTTACCAGGTTTTGCCAGGGCAAAACCCCAAAAGCTTTTAATAGATATCCCTTGGGGAAAGCCGCGTGACTCCAAGTCCCCAATTATGCTGTGTAAAACTTTAAAGAGGAAGGGAAAATCACCCACATTAGTTAGTGGCAAGCTAAAAGCCCTGGGGACTTTGCCTCGTTCTCAGACTGCCCCTGGAACCCTCCTCAAGGTCACTCCAACGCAGAGCTTGTTGGGGTTTGTGGAGAGTGTGTGGGTGGCCAGAAAGGCAGGTGGGTTCCCTTGTAAACTTTGGTGGTCTTAAGGAGCACAGCTTTGAAAAGGAGCCTAGCAGTGCCCTCTCCTGGTTGTTTAGAGACAACCCAGTCCCTACACACATCAGTGCTCCAGCGATCTCCATCTTGCTAACCACAGTCACCTCCAGACAGGTGAGTCACTGAGGTGCAGTGCTCGGGGAGCACCCAACTGAATGGCCCGGTTATAGTCGCCACCTTCCCTAATCAGCTCTCTAGAACTGGAGCCAACCATTGTAGTCACTTCCAATCCTGACATCCGGTTTGTACCTCTGCCCAAGCACCCCGCAGCTTTGCAGGTCACCTCAGGATGCACTCCGCTCCTTTGTAAAGATTCATTAAAGCCTAAGCCACTGATGTCCCCCAGGGTGGCAGTTTACTGTGTGCAGCGACATCGCCCACTCCAACAAGGGGACCATGAAGGCTGCAGCACAGGGTTACTGGATTCCAAGGGGGCCCATGATGTCACCTTCTGTTAAAATACAGCACTAATCTTGTTACTCCTAGAACCACTCCAGCAGCTCCACCCTGGCTGCCGCCTCCACCCCTTCCTCTCTCTTAAGAGCAGAACAATAAGGTTTAATTTCCCTTTCCAATTTACCTTGAAATGAAAACTGACTTCAGCCAATATGTACTGCCAACAAATGATCCGGGCTGGCTCCCGGGAAAACAAGACTATCTCTAAGCTCCCCCTCCCCTCCTCCCAGGCCCATCCACACACCCACTCGTTTCTACAGTCCCACAATTAATTTTAAACACATTCTCTTATTAGTTCTGCCTTCCTATTAGAAGAGCGCGTAATGAGCTTCCATCTAGTTTATGTTTTGCTAGCACAGGGCTAATGTTTCAAAAGAAGGGGAACTCATTTACAGCATGAAATTAGCAGAGCAAACAGCTTTTGCAATTCTTTCCACTATCCCAGAAGGTCTCACTTCTACAGACAGACATTGCACGCAGGAACAAGGCTACCTGGCAGATGACAAAACTGCACTACACTGTGGAGCAAACCCCAAGGTTTTGTGATTTCAGCACCATAATAAACAGCACTCTTGCTGACAACCTGGTTTTTCAATTGCTGCAGTCACCCCCTCCAACAGGCCCTGAACTGAATAAAATTCAGGAGATTCCAATTCCCCAATAACCCAGCCTAACAGTCCAGATGGAAACAAAGGTCTGTGACCAACAAAACAAAACAAAAAACCTTGCTGTAAATAATTAACCTCAGTCCAAGGTGATTCCCTCTCCAAGGGGCTGACCAGTGCCCCTTTCAGGAACGTAGCAACTTGGAAGAAAATCTGGCATGCCTGAGGTCTGGGGAACAAGGGTTGCTTGTTGCCTTTGCCTGCCTTTGGTTGCCCACATGTATGCCTAGTCAGTCTGGGTAGATTACCTTCTGACAGCTCTTACCATCTTTCTTGACCTAGGCCAGAGGCATTGATGTGCAGCAGGTCTCCCTAGTCATCAATTACGACCTTCCCACAAACAGGGAAAACTACATCCACAGAATTGGCCGTGGCGGTCGCTTTGGCCGTAAAGGTGTGGCCATTAACATGGTGACGGAAGAGGACAAGAGGACTCTTCGAGACATCGAGACATTCTACAACACTTCCATTGAAGAGATGCCCCTCAATGTTGCTGACCTCATTTGAGGAGCTGTCCTGCTACCTGGCCATAGCCAGGGTTCAGTCCTGGGGGGCTGAGGAACAGCTGGAGGGGGGAGGGAAGGGAGCCAAGGGATGGACATCTTGTTTTTGGTTTTTTTTGTTTTTGGTTTTTTTTTCTCTTTGAATAAATGTCACTTTTTGAGGCAAAAAGAAAAAAAAAAAAAAAAAATAATTAACCTCCTGGGGTTAGTTCCGCACCGCTTTCTCTTTTTAGGCATTTGCTAGTCTGCCACGAATGGAGAACTAAATATTCTGAAGTGTCTTTTTGTAGTTCAGTAGGAGAGATGGCAAGAGCCATCTCCACACTGAAGGGAGGTCACACCTCTCCACCTCAAAAGGTCTGTGAAATGCAAGACTCTTGTTCAATAACCAAATAGTCATCATACCTTTGGTCTCAAGAACAGTTTGGAAGGGGCCTGCAGCACCCCCATGTGGAAGTTTTTCCTGCGTATTTATTGTGGAGCTAAGGTAGATAAAAAACCACAAACTGGTTTTTAAAAATTCCAAGGCAGGCTCCAAAGCTACAGAGAAACCCTTTCTCGAAAAACCAAATAAATAAATAATTCCAAGCCTCCTAGGACTTCATATGCTTGTGAACTTAAACCTAAGTCTAAAGGTTTAAAGGGCACTGAGGAAGTTCTTGTAAATTTCCTTAAATCACTGGAACTGCAAAAACCTAGATTCTAGTCCTTTTCCCTTTCTCTTTTTTTGTTTATTTGTTTGTTTTTTGATACAGAATTTCTCTGTTTAACAGCCCTGGCTGCCTGGCTGTCCTGGAACTCACTCTGTAGTAGACCAAGCTGGCTCCTAACTCACAGAGATCTGCTTTGGCCTCCTGGAGTGCAGGCATCAAAGGTATGGGCCACCACAGTCCGGTAAAACCTAGACTCCATTTCCAACAGCCAGGATTCTCCGTCAATTTCCTTCCCAAAGACACCACTCCTTGGAAGGAAACAAAGCTCAGTCCCTTCCTGGAGAAGCAGCAAGTTCTTAACTTCAGCTCTATCACTAGTTAGACACCTTCATCTCCAGATGCATCGCTACAGATGGATTTGTGCATCGTAACTACGAAAGGATAAAGTAACCTCTAAGGGTTAGGAAGCTAACTACATCTCCTGGGCCTTTTCCATCATATTGGAAGTGCTGTTTGCTTCCCACAGCAGTACCAGCGCCAACAGTGCTGGGGAAGAACCAGATCTTTGGGTGTGTACAAAGCCAATGCACTGTAAAGCTCAGAACTGCTAATTCGGGGGAGCAATTCAAGGCCTTCCCTCATTTTTTTCTGCCACTTAAAACTACTTCAAAAGACACGTTAAAAGCAAATCAGACCATAAAAAGATTGCACCAAGGAGCCTCCCCGCATTTTCTTACTCATTCTCGAACCTCTCATGTCAACTGACAGCAATTCAAAAACCTCACTGTCCTAAATACCCACAAGTGTTAGGAGAAGCTCTCCCACCTGACACTCTGTCCCGTCAATAAAGCAGCCGTTCCACCTTTCTGTCGATAAACCCACTCATTTCACCTGATACTAACGAAGGCGATCATAACTTCCAGTGTCTGCGAAAAGGATCTGCCATTTTCTCCCACTCTCGGCCACTTGGATAGATAGCTACATCCCCCAAACACTGACTCTGGCCGCTCCCTTACATTCTCATCAAACTACATGGAAAACAGCCACACGCTCCTTCTCCTTTCCCGGTTAAACTTGAGACGAAAGATACCTTCTGTTCTCAAAGTCAATTGAAAACCCAGGCTTCTTTTCTGGTTGGATCCCCAGTAAGCCCTCACTTTCACAACCCCTTCTCTAGCAGCACCTACGAGCTGCGGCCCCGCCCACGCCCCCTCACCTGAGAGCAGCAGCAGCTCTCTACTAAGACACCACCAGCCGCGCACCGTATAGTCCGAATCCCGGCTTCTCCTTCCGGGTGAGTTGCCTGCGCCCCGGTGCACGACGGGAGGCGGCTCCCGACGGACCAATCCTGAGTGTCCAGGACGCCCCACCCCTGCAGGCCGGGGCTCTCAGTGGCAACTGCCGGTCAGAGGCGGCTCTCCGCCCCGCCCAGACATGGGCTGCAATCCGGATCTTTCCGGAAATCGCTAGGGGTGCGGGAGGTGGGGCGCGAGGACTGAAACCCCTCGGGGTTCCCTTCAGGTCCGCGTCCCGCCCACCGCTGTCAGGAGCGCCAATCAGCGCTCAGGGAGCATCATTAAAGCCTCACCACCACCCTCCCCAGAGCATCTTGGGATCCGAGGTGTCTGTAAGAGTTTTACACGGTTGTCAGTAGTGTGGGAAGGTTCCCCACATTCCTGGAGCCTCACTAAGATCTCCAAAGGGCCCCGCTTTGAACCTCGGAGATTGCAGTTCCCCAGCTGAAACGTCAAGGGCACTTCGAGTTAGTTTTGGAAAAGTCACAGCAAAAAACAGACAAGAAGGCTGACAACTCACAGTGACTCCCCGAGACAAGCCCAAAGCAGGAGCACGCAGTTAGTAAGCAAGAAAAAGCTGATGAAAATGCTAACTCTGGTGACAAGCAAATTCCTCTTACGGCAATGGAAGATTAAAGCTACATAGTGAGTTCGAGGCCACCCAGGCTACAGAGTAAGACTCAATCTCGAAACACAATCAGAAACCCTCTTGATCTGTTAAAGAGATGATTTTACAGCTGTAACCCCAGCACTTGGAAGTAGAGGCAGGAACCGAAGGTCATTGCTAACTACATAGTGAGTTTCAGCCTGGCCCAGGCTACCTAAGACCCTGACTCAAAAACAACCCAACAGAGGCTGAAGAAATGGCTCAGAACTTAATGCTGTTTTTCTCATCCAGAGATGAGTTCAGCACCCATATCAAGCAGCTCACAATTCCTGCAACTCCAACTCCAGTGGATCCGAGGCATACACAAATGCACCCATACACACCCCAAAAATAAATGTTTGTTTTTATTTTGTGTATGAGTGTTTTGCCTGTAAGTATGGGTGCCTACCTGGAACCCTCAGTGTAAAGGAGGGCCTCAGCTCTCCTGGAACTGGTGTTACAAATGGTTGGAGACACTGTGGAGATCTGGGAACTGAACCCTGGTTCTATGCAAGAGCAGAAATGCTCTAAACCTCTGAGTCATTTCTCAAGTCCCAAATCCCCCCCCCCCCCGCCACCCCGGTTCTCTTTCAGGCTCTATGGCTTTGGAATATGAAAAGAATCTAGCCCAGCACAGGCATATCACTGGGAAAAGGGTGTTTTTTGTCCGCTCTAACAATCGCAAATACTCCTATGCTAAAACAGAACATCAAAGACTACTCTCCCTCTCCCTTCCCATCTGTCTTTCCTTTCATTTTAAGATTAAAGTCTTGTTATCTAGCCTGGGCTAGCCTAGAACTAACTATGTAGACCAAGATTACCTCAGATTCAAAATGTACAATCCCCTGCCTCAGTCACCCAAGTGCTGGGATTACAGGTGTGCCCAATCATGCCCAGTTAACAAGTGGTGGCTTCCTTTTAAAGACTTGTTTTTCCTTATGTGTCTGTATATGAAGCTGCGTGAGTTATAGGTCCAGCTTGTGTGTGCTGTGCCCACAGAGGCCAGAAGAGGTCATCAGATCCTTTGAAACTAGAGTTACAGAAGACCTACCCAAATGTGGGTGCTGGGAATTGAACCCCAATCCTCTGCAAGAGCAGCAAATGCTGTTAACCATTTAGCTATCTCTCCAATCCCATCCAAAAAAATAAAGTAAATAAAATCATGTTACTATCATCACTGATGTCATCAGAGAACTTTCAGTAAGTTGTCAGATTCCTTACTGTAGACACCAAATTACCAAAGCTGAATTTTTTGCATGAAAGACATTTTCTTATTGGCAGTAATATTTCTGTCTTCCTTTACGTGGCCAACTCTGCATTCAAATATCTGATTAACCAGCTCTTTTTCCCTTGTCTTTGTCTTTTCTTTTCTTTTCTTTTTTTGACTAGGGTTTTACTACATAGCTCAGGCGACCCTGGAATTCATAATTCTCCTGCCTCCCAAATGTTGGTATTATACGTGCCTGCCACCTTGACTAGAAAGTTTTCAACTGTTGCTTATACAATAAATGCTGGAAAATAACAACCACAGCCTCAAACAACTGGAACAATGCAAACTTCAAAACACTGAAAATATATTGCACGGCTGGAGAGATGGCTCAGAGGTTAAGAGCACTGAGTGCTCTTCCAGAAGCCCGGGGTTCAGTTTCCAGCATCCACATGGCAGCTCACTACAGATCGTAACTCCAAGACCCGACACCCTCACACGGACATACATACAGGCAAAACTCCAAAGCACATAAAATAAAAATAAATAAATTATTTTATTATTATTTTTAATTTATTTGTTACGTACACCGTAGTCTGCCTACATGCATGCCTACAGGCCAAAAGAGGGCACCAGATCTTATTACAGATGGTTGTAAGCCATCATGTGGTTGCTGGGAATTGAACTCAGGACCTTTAGACAAGTAGGCAGTGCTCTTAACCACTGAGCCATCTCTCCAGCCCAATAAATTATTTTAAAAATCATATTGAACACCAGCAACATGATACCGTGGAAGATTTTGTGCAGGTCACAGTCAAGATGCAGACATGTTAAAAACACCTCCAGCCTTTGTGTATAAAATCTATTTTAAAAGCCGGGCCTGATGACACATGTATAATCCCCAGTACCGGGGAGGCTGAACTAGAGTTCTAATGTCAAGCTGAGCTGCAAAAGATTCCCACAATTTTTTTTAAATGTATTTATTCCATGTATATGGTGCTCTATCTGCACATACACCTGCACACCAGAAGAGGGCACAACAGACTGTGAGCCACCATGTGGGTGGGGGAATCGAACTGAGGACCTCTGGAAGAGCTGCCAAGGCTCTTAATCGCTGAGCCATTTCTACAGCCCCAAGACCCCACAATTTAAACAAAGAAACAAACAAAAAACAAACTAATCAAAGTCAGAGGTATGGGACTTAAAAGTACATATTCTAATCAAACTCAACTATCAGGGAACTGATGAGAAAAATCAAAAAACCACAGGCTATGAAAGAGAAGAAATGTCTCTGAAACTCTTAAACATATTACATTGTTTTGCTTTTTTTTTAACCCCACAAGAGAGGGTTTCTCAGTGTAGCCCTTGTCCGTCCTAGAACCCACTCCTGTAGACCAGGCTAGACTCAAACTCACAGAGATCTGCCTGCCTCTGTCTCCCAAGTGCCACCACCACCCAGCAATGGCATTATGTTTTATAAGAGACTACATTGTTAACTCCAGAATGAATAAATCTTTAACAGTTGGATTTCAGGGAGCTAACCAAACTGGGGTTGGGGGCTCAAACTCCAGCAATCCCAGTTCTATAGAGGATGAGGCTGCAGGAACGGAAATTCAAGGTTTTTGGATGTAAAAAAAAAATAAAATAAAAAGGAAGGGACAGGGCTGCGTCTAGGTTTGGTGGAGGAGGACGTTTATTGTAGACAAAAGGGAGAGCAGAGGTATCTGGGAGAGTCCAGAGCAGGTGTGAGACACGGGAGCGGGGGGGGGGGGGGGGGGGGGGAGCGGACGGGGGGGGGGGAGCGGACGGGGGGGGGGGGGGAGGGGAGGACAGACGCACAGGATAAAAGGTCTGAAGGGTAAAAGGGTAGACGAAAAGATCAAGTATTCAAAATGGATTCATTATATAGGGCAGGGCAGCTGGGGGAAGAGGTAGGGGGTAGGTGGTGTTCCAGCCACGAGGGCCCTGTAACAGGTAGGTACTGAGGGATGCAGGGAGACCTGGATACCACTGTCTGCTCTGCCATGTTTATAGGCACCTCAGCGATTCCTCTCAGGTTTGAGACCCAACAGTTCTTGGCCCCAATCAGAAGGGCAGGCACATTTGTGTGAGTTCTGAAAAGCGCTGGCTGCCGCCCTCACTAACTGTTCTGGAACTCAATTTGTAGTCCAGACTGGCCTCAAAGTCACAGAGATCTGTCTACCTTTGCCTCCCCAGTTCTGGGATTAAAGGCGTGTGCCACCACTACCTGACTTTCTTTTCTTTTCTTTTCTTTTTTTTAATTAATTAATGTTTTATTTTGTGTGCATTCGTGTTCCATCTACATGCATGTCTGTGTGAGGTTGTCAGACCCTCTGGTTGCAGGCAGTTGTTAGCAGCCACATGGGTGCGGCTGACCGGATCCTCTGGAAGAGCAGCCAGTACATTTACATGAAGAGTGGAATTCAGCTTAATGTAGGGCTTGGGGGTGGAGCATTTGATGCTGACAGGAACATGATTTGGCTATTGGAAATACAATAAATTTGGGATTATAATTCCCACCTCCAGTCAAGAATTTAACGCAGAGCCGGGCGGTGGTGGCGCACGCCTTTAATCCCAGCACTCGGGAGGCAGAGGCAGGCAGATCTCTGTGAGTTCGAGACCAGCCTGGTCTACAAGAGCTAGTTCCAGGAGAGGCTCCAAAACCACAGAGAAACCCTGTCTCGAAAAACCAAAAAAAAAAAAAAAAAAAAAAGAATTTAACGCAGTTTGGCTAGGGGGGTGGTGCCTGTTGAGCCTCAAACCCTCGGATAAATGGCTGAGGTACCAATTTAACATATCAAAACAGACCTGGCCTCCAGATTCTCCCAGCATCCCTCAGTCCCGACCTGTTACAGGATAAGGAGGACAGATCCTGCCCTTTACACCCCCCACCCCCCCCCCCCCCCCGCACCTCCCCTCCCCTCCACCCCCGCTTCCCAGTTCTCCAGCCCAGGGTCTGGGCTGCCCTTCCCCCAGCCATTTTTGTTACCCGCCCTTTTGTTAACTTTTGCCCTCTTGGCTGATGAACCTGCCCTCCCCCATTCTTCTCTTTTCTCCTCCTCCTCCTTCTCCTCCTCCTCCTCTGCTTTCTCTCCTTCTCGTCTTCTTTCCCTTCCCCTTTTCCTCACGTGGCCCAGGGTCATGTCCATTCTGCACTCTCCCAAATGTCTCTGTCTCTGGCCACACTCTCTCTTATCTACAATAAACTTCCTCCTCCACCACACATACCTAGGAACAGGCATGTCCTTCCTTTTTATTTTTTCATTCATCTGGCGCTGAACCTGGTGCTCAAGCCCTGGGACAAATGGCTGAGGTCCCTATTCACCAGTGCAGACTGTGAGAACCAATCAGGGAGGCTGAGGTGCAGATGGAGAGTTCAAGGCCAAGGAATTTGAGTGGAAGACCCTGACACTAAAACAAGCCAAAACACAACAAAAAACCCTTCACCTGGACTGGAGAGGCTGGGGATAGCGCCCAGCTGGAGAGTGCTGGCTTGTTCTGCACATGGTTCCAGATTCAGGGCCAAGAAGAGAAGGAAGGAAGCCAGGACTCCTAGCGCTGGCGTACATACTCAATGGCAATGTCTTAAGCTTTGAGTGGAGTGGCGCTCGGTAGTAAGATGCTATGTGCCTGAGTGTGTGTGTGTGTGTGTGTGCGCGCGCGTGCGCGCGCCCAGCAAAGGTCAGAAGGAGAAGGAGTTGGATCTTCTGGAACTGGAATGACAGGCTGATGGGAAGCACACTGTGGGTGGTGGGAACAGAACTCAGATCCTCTGGAAGAGCCGCAAAGGCCCTCAACCTTCGGAGGCCCTCAACCTCTGGCCCATCTCCCCAGGCCTGTAAGTACTTTCTTACCAGGCACAAGGCCCTGGATTTGATCCTTAGCACCAAGACAAGATGAAGCAAAGCTAAAAGTAGTACTAATATTCTCACTTTCCAAGTTATCCAAAGCATCCACATCAGGAAAGAATAGGTGGGTTGGTGCCTATCTTTGGAGGCTCAACCCACATATTTTCAGGAAGAATTGGTCTCTTTTAAATAAATTTGTGTATGGTATTGCTGAGCTAAACCTCTCTCTCTCTCTCCTCTCTCTCTCTCTCGTCTTTGTTTTTTGACAGGAAAGTTGTCATTGTCTTGTTTTGTTTTGTTTTGAGACAGGCTCCCACTTGCAGCCTAGGCTGTCCTGGAACTGCCTACATAGCCTAAGCTGCTCTTAAACTTACAGCAATCCTTCTGCCTCAGTCTCCTGAGTACTAGGATTAAGAGGCACAGAGCATCACACCTGACCTTGGAAAGCCTCATCAGCTCTATTTTCTGTGAGGGAGGAGGAAATGTCGTTTATTTATTTAATCACATGAGGAAAACAGGGACGTATGAATGCCAGCAACACGTACCAAGGGTTTTATGGGGTGTTGTGGACATAGTGAGCCAGCCTAACTAGGACACTCGTTAAAGAATGACAACTATAGCCAGGCAGTGGTGGCGCACGCCCTTAAACCCAGAGCTAGGGAGGCAGCGGCAGGCAGATCTCTGTGAGTTCGAGGCCAGCCTGGTCTACAAGAGCTAGTTCCAGGACAGGCTCTAAAGTTACAGAGAAACCCTGTCCCAAACACACACACACACACACGAATGACAACCATAAGTTTTGCTAAATTAGCTAGATAAGGGGTATCATGGAGATGGAGGAGTCCCCACAAAAGTCACCCATTGGCACAGACAATACAGGGAAATTACTGCATGTGGTGGCACATACCTGTAACTCCAGCATTTGGGAAATGGAGACAGGAGACTCAAGAGTTCAAGGCTAGCCAGGGCTTCCTCGAGACCCTGTCCACCCACCACGAATAAATAAATAAATAACAACAGCAAAACAAAACAAAGATAGAAAGAGAGAAGGAGGGAGAGAAAGGAGAGGAGAGAGAACAGATGTGGGAGAGGGAAAGGAAAAGAAAATTCAGGAAGTGCCGGTGATGAGTACCAACTTAGTGCTTTCTGATCAAGAATGTGATTCACTCAAGGCTGAGGAGTGGGAACCTCAGCGAGGTGGAGATAAAAGATTACAGGGTTTGCTAGACAATACTGAAAGGTGGAGATTTGATAAATCTCAGGCAACGAATATGTTAAGTTTTTTTTTTTTCAAGACAGGGATTCTCTGTGTACCCCTGGCTGTTCTGGAACTCGCTTTGTAGACCAGGCTGGCCTGGCCTCGAACTCACAGAAATCTGCCTGCCTCTGCCTCCAGAGTGCTGAGATTAAAGCTGTGCACCACCGCACCTGGCAGTTAAGATTATCTTTTAATGGCAGAGGTTGTTAATTATAGAACTGCCCAGACGCAAATGGTTTTCCGGATCAAATATCAAGGGGCTAGTTTCCAAACACACGAGTTCTGGGTAGACTGACTAAGGAATAGTGGTGGACGCCTGTAATCTTGAGGCAAAAGAAAGGCCACGAGTTCGAAGCCAGCTGGGCTACACACCCTGTTATGAAACAAACAAAACCCCACCACTACCTACAAACTTTCTAGACTACAGTCGACCCTGCCTTTCCAGTTTAAAAGAAAAACAAAACTACGAAAACACCCGACAGCCCTTGAAAGTGGGACGGGCGGCCCGAGCCTCGCGCGGCACTCTGGGACTTGTAGTCTTGGACAGACCCCCCCCCCCCCACCGAGTCCCATGATGCCGTGTGGCGGGTCATCGCGTCTGCGCGGTGCAGGCGGCGGGCAGCGCAGAGTGAGAGGCTCTTTTGTTCGGCTGAGGGGAGGGCCGCTGGTGGGGCCTGCGGTACGCCGCTGCAGCTCGGCGTTCGACTGCGGCCGTCCGGCTTTCTGCTCCTCTGGGCGCTACTCCCTCGGGCCGCCCGACGCCACGCGCTAAGAGCGCGGTACCGATTCCTCTCGGACTCTCGGGCGCTGCTACGAGGTGAAGAGGCGGGCTGGAGGCGGGGGGGGGGGGGGGGGGGGGGGAGGCGGGGGGGCGCGACGGCGGCGGGAGGCCGCGGGCGGGCGAGGGCCGGGAACGGAAGACTGGAGCGAGAGGAGTTGGGGGCGCGGCCGGGCCCAGCGCCGGACAAGTCTGCTTCCCGCGCAGAGCTCGCGGGTTGCGGGAGTCTGAAGAGGGCGGGGCAGCGGATCCAGAGCCCGGGAGCCAAGTGGTTCCTGAAGAGCCGAGCCGTCGCTGGGTCAGCTCTTCACGAGCTGGACAGAATTGTTCGACTCCAGTGAGCGACTCTGGAGTTGGGCGGGAGAAGGAAAACTTTAGGACCTCGAGAAGGGAACAGGCTTGGCGCTTTGAGTGTGCATGGCACGGATCACTCTTCGTCCACTAAAGGTTTAGAAATGTAACCCGAGAAAGAGGACACGGTGGCAGCCGCGGGTAATCCCGGTAGCGCTCGGAGGAAAGAAAGGGAACCTGAGGGTATTGAGTCCAACTGACACTATCGGAGGAATTTCTCTTGCTAGGGTCACGAAGTAGTAACTTACAGGAAACTTGGACAAGGGGGCTTGGGCTGCTCAAGGTGCGCTAATGGAGAAGAGATCTGTTGAACAAATCTGGGAGCGAGGGGTCGGACATTTGCTTGACCTTGTGTAAAGGAGTTCTTGAGATAAGGAAAGTGGAGGTCCAGAGCATGATCGTGTAAAATAGGAAGAGAAAGGGGGTGCTTCGGGGGGGGGTGTAGCTTAGTTTGCAGAGTGTGTGCCTAGTGGGCTGCAGACCCCTGGATCCAATCTCCAGTACCACATAACTGGCTGGGTGTGTGGTGGCATGTACACGTAATGTTAGCACAGAGGGTCAGAAGTTCAAGACCTTCCTTGACTTCCAGTAAAGGGGCCACTTTCTGCCTAGTAAGGGGTCTGTAGTGTGAGTTGGGAGGCTGTAAGAAAAAGGCAAGATTCATCAGATGGAAAGTGTTTGCTCTTGCTGGCCAATCTGAAAGACCTCAGTTTAACCCCTGGATCCCAGGTAAACGTGGAAAGAAAGAACCTATTCCAGAAAATTGTCCTCCGAGCTACACATGAGGATATGGCAGGAACCCACAAAAGCAGGCGTTGGCACACACAGTAATACTATTTTTACAAAAAAAAAAAAAAAAAGTATATGAGGGCTGGAGAGATGGCTCAGAGGTTAAGAGCACTGGCTGCTCTTCCAGAGGACTTGGATTCAATTCCCAGCACCCACATGGCAGCTCACAACTGTCTGTGACTCCGTGACACTCTCACACAGACATACATGCAGGCAAAATACCAGTGCAAATGAAATAAATTTTTAAAAAGTATATGAAATATGGAACTTACTTTTCCCAAGTTATCTGCCACTGAATTGTGTTCAAAATAATTCTTAAAAATGAGTTTTACTGCTGGGTGGTGGTGGCACAGGCCTTTAATCCCAGTACTCAGGAAGCAGGGGCAGTTAGAGCTCTGAGAGAAACCCTGTCTCAAAACACCAAGGAAAAAGAATGACTTTTACTAGAACATAAGGTATCCTCTCCAGTTTGGGGTTAAGAATCATGTCAGCAGTTTGGAATAGTTTCAAGCGATCTAAGGTTTTGGGATAGATGTATGACTGCGATCAAGAAATTAGTGCCTGTGCCCCTCCTTTGATGCTTTCTAGCTAGATATGAAAAGTGGTATATTGAAAAGACTCCAGTCGTGCAAGGAGGGCCAGGCCTAGAGGAAACCCCATGTTGAAACCACTTGCTCCTTAGTAAAGATTTGTGACGATGGGAGATCTTCAGTCACTTCTGGTTTTCTGATTGGTCACTCTTTTATAAATAATATTAAAATTGGTAAATTTTTACCCTCCTGGGTATTTTTCTGAGCAGGTAAAATAGTGTGTGTGCACATGGGTGTATGGGATAATTTTGAGAAGTTCATTCTACCATGGGTTCAGGGGATCAAACTCACCCATCAGACTTCCATGCGAAGCACTTCTACCTGCTAAACTACATCTGCAGCCCTCTGGACAATTCTTTCGGAGTAAAAGGCCCTTTTTGTTTTTCTCTGTGTAGCCCTGGCTGTCCTGGAACTCACCCTGTAGGCCAGGCTGGCCTCGAACTCAGAGGTCTGCTGCTTCTGCCCCTCAACTACTGGGGTTAAAGACGTTTTTTATATTTATGTCTTTATTGTTTTATATTTTGAGACAGGTTCTGACTCTATCTCTGGATGTCCTAGAACTTGATACACACAACAGTCTGGTCTCAGATTCACAGAGTTCTCCCTGCCTCTGTCTCCTAAGTGCTGGAATTAAGTATATCAGCACACTCAGTGTTGTTTTAGTTTTTTTAAAAGTGGGGTAGGGAGTGTGCCATGATATACTTGTGGAGATGAAAGAACAACTTTGGCCTCCTCTTGTACTGTTAGGCAAATTCTGGTGATTGAACTCTGGCTGTTAGGCTTTTAAGACAGAAACCTTTACCCACTGAACCAGCTTGATAGCCCCATTTTCTAAATTTTGGGAACTAGACCTAGCAGAAATTGGTATCTGTAGATTTTCTTTTCTATGTCCCAAATTGGCTTAAAACTCACTATGTAGCCCAGATTGGCCTTGAACTGAGATTATAGATATGTACCACCATACCTAGTTTAGTTTTATTTTTATGTGTGTGTCTTTGCTTACTTTTTGCGATCTAAAGAATTGAATCCAGGGCCTTTTACATGTTAGACAAACAGGCACACTGAACTGCATCCAAGTTTGGCGAGCTTTCCACAGCTTCTACAAGCTTCTAGACTAAATTTGGGGAACGTTGGGCTGGTTTTTGTTTTCTTTTTCTGGTGGTGAAAGTGTACTGAATTGAACTCCAAAACCCATGTGCTCTGTCATTGAGCTGTACTATAAAATCCTTAATGTCAGTTAGGCAGTGTTGGCTTATGACTTTAATCTCTCAACGCTTGGGAAGCAGAAGCAGGCAGATCTCTGAGTTCGAGGCCAGCCTGGTCTATAGAGCAAGTTCCAGGATAGCTATGACTGAAGGAAGCTGCACAGGGAAAACTTCCCTCAAGTTTGAAGAAAGCCTGGTCTAAATAATGAGTCCATGCCAGCCTGGACTATAAAGTAATACTCTGTCTGAAAAAACAGGCTAGACTTTCTAGCTAACTTGGTGGAAAAGGGCATTTCCCACAAAGCCTGATTAACAACTTGTGTTTGATCCCAGGACCGACATATTAGAAGGAGGGACCTGCCTTCTGAAAGTTACCCTCTGTCCCTGTGCTCCCTGCTACAAACACTAAATACAGGTGTCGGAGGTAAAAAGATGAATCACATACTTGAGGCCAACCTAGACTACAGAGTTGAGACCCTGGCACAAACGGGGGGGGGGGGGGGGGGGCATGTGGATTTGCTCTGGATTTAATCTGTTCCAACCAATTCTGCTCCCACAACCATGCTCAAAAAGCAAAAACAAACTACTACCCCTGTTTAGTGTGTACATGGTTCCTGTTTTTCATCCAGATTTGCATCTGGAAAACATTTGCTTCACAAACAGCCAAATAAAAAGCCAACTAAAAGAAGTTTGGAAATGTGACTGGCACCAAAGCATACTGTACTACTGTGTGTGCCTTCATTTCTGTTTTGATTACTGGTGTGTAGTTGCCAGTTATTATAGCAAAGATACCTTGTCCTTGTTTTCAGTTCTGGTTTCTTGATTGTCACTCCTTAAAAGCTGACAGCTTTGTACTTTGATTTCCTGATTATTTGGTTTTGAAACATCTTTCTTTGTTAGGTATACAATGTTCATAATTTGCACAGGGCTCAGAATTCTGAGGGAAAATAGAAACAAAATGTTTTGGGGAATCCCAAGGGAAGGAGAAATATTTGGTTAGGTTGGGTGAGCTTTATGGGAGAAATACCATTTAGGCTAGGTCTTGAAGAAACTGTAGGGTTCTGACTGAATGAAACAATACGGTGTGTTTATTCGCCCCTTGTGAGTGCTGGAAGAGCAGAGCAGCCAGTGCGCTTAACTACTGAGCCACCTCTCCAGCCCTGAGATTTTGTTTGTTTGTTGAAATTTTGTAGCTCAGTGTGGGTGTGTGTCCGTGGGGATACAGCAGAGGCCAGGAGAGGGGTCCCCTAGAGCTGGAGCTGTACAGTTGTGTACAGGAGAGGGTCCCCTAGAGCTGGAGCTGTACAGTTGTGTACAGGAGAGGGTCCCCTAGAGCTGGAGTTGTACAGTTGTGCTAGGAAGCAAACTCAGACGACCCCTGTAAGTGCAGCAAGAGCCCTTAATTGCTGAGCGTCTGCCCCACCCCAGTGTGGCTGTTATGCAAAAAGAGTCTGTGTTGCACTTGTTTAGAGAATCGCAGAGTGGAATCCCAGCACTAGGGAAGCAGAGGCCGGCAGATCTCTGTGAGTTCGAGGCCAGCCTAGTCTATAAGAGCTAGTTCCAGAACAGGCTCCACAGCTACAGAGAAATCTGTCTCAAAAAACAAAACAACAACAACAAGTTAAGAATCTGACGGGATGTGGTGTGGTAGTGGCCCACATTTAATCCCAGCATTTGAGAAGCAGAGGTGTGGAGGGGCGGTCTCTTGAGTTTGAAGCCAGTTTAATCTACAAATGGAGCCCCAGGACACCAAATGCTAGACGGAGAAACCCTGTTTCAAAAAACAAAAGAAGAGTTCAGGCATCTTTGTGCATACCATTGAATGCTGAGAATGGAGATCTAAGGGGCTGGGAAATGTCATGCATGGCTCAGTTAGTAAAATGGTTCAGACCTGAGTACCTTTTACAGCTGGATGAGAGGTGGAGTGAAAAATTGTCCAGATGCTAGGCGGCCAGATAGCCTGGGTCATACAGTGTAGCATGAAGAAACAAGAAATTTAGACTCAGGAAAGCAAAGATTGAAGGAGAGAGCTAACTCTAGCCAGGTTGTCCTCAGACTTCCACATGTACACATCTGCACTCACAGTTAAGAATGTATTGTAATG